CGGGCTTCATTGTTCTTTTATACTTTTGCATAGAGGTAAACGACAGGTTGTTTCTTTGTACGTGAGAGAGCTGCAGACTTTGTTTCCTAAAGTGCTTCTACCCACCAGCTGAAGCGTACCGGCAACAAGGTCCTGCTCAAGGGTGGCACTTTGGAGGACGCCATCACAGCTGCTATCACAGCCATGAATGAACCGAAAACCTGCAGCACCACGACTCTACGGCGGTACCTTTTAGACGCCAACAAGGACAGAAAGGAGTACCAGTTAGGTAAGTCAGGTAATCCTACGTGGCTCAACAGGATTCCTGAGGCCGATTGCACTACATGGACATAGTAAGGGTGCCTTATCTACACATGCTGCACCATCTGAAACTACAACTAGACACAACACTCGCTTTCTCTTTAAACAAATCACAAGAAATGCAGCAGGTGAACCCTTTAAACCTGGTTCTCATGACTGAGCCCTTCAGCCTTCTGCAATGATTTTGGTTTTTTGCTAGTAAACTATCCCCTCACTCTTATTTTGAAAGTTAATTTGCTGCTAGGCATGTTTCATTAACAGCAGACTGACGGGTCGCTGTTGTTGAGGTTCTCAGTGTCATTCTGCGGTCTCTCTGTTTTGTGGACTTACACTCCTTCACCATGAGCTGCAGCTGCAGACGGTAGTTCATGTTTTCTTCCATATTATCTGAGACCCATTCAGAACCTGCAGGCGGTGGAGAACTGAGCTGAGTTCATCACCATCTGCACAGCATATCAAGGACTACCGTCACCAGCTGCTGTTCAGGATGATGGAGGATCTGCACGACTATCTGATAGCTGCAGCTGATTAGGACTATAATTTCTTTCTTTTTGTTTTTGTTTTTGTTTTTTTATTAAAAAATTAGCCAGCAGCTCAAACACACATAGCACAAGTTTCAGTTAAAACTTTCTTTGCATCAACAATGGCGTCACTAATAGAACTTTTTATTTTTTCCTCTCTTCTCTTTAGTGGCCAATCTTCGGAGGACCCTGACAAAGTGTAAAGTACTCGGATGGATGGAGCAGATTACTGGTCACGGCTTCAACGGGACCTACCAGCTGTCGTTCCCTTTCTACCCGAGGTATTTCACTTGCATCTGGAAATCCCCAACCCTTTTAATACTTAATTTATTTTTCTTTCTGTCTGATAAAGGAGCTTTGTCTGTGCAGCTTCTGGAATTCTTTGTTCTTTCTTTTCTTGATGTCTGATCCTTTTTTCTTGTCCCCTCCTCAGTCCCACCATCCTGTACCCAGACAAGTTCAAAGAAATTCCAAAGAAAGATGCTGCACCTCCGACCAAGCGAAGGCGAACAGTTGAATCTTCAGACGAAGACGAGGAAGAATCAGAAGAAGAGGAAGAGTCTGAGGATGAAGCCCCGGCCCGTAAGAGGTGCATATACCTGTTGCAGCTCGACTCCTAATTACATGCTTTAGTTAAACGTTTAAAGATGGGTCCTGCTCCATATATCAGTCCACTCTTTTGTAATGACAGCCATCCATCCCACAATGATTAACAATTCAAGTGGAGAATGATTTTTTTAATTTATTTTTAACAATTGCTTTTTGTTAAAACGACTCTTAGGAAACCTCCGAAGAGGCCTCCACCAAAGGCTCGTCGTCCTCCTCCAACCAAGAAATCTTCGAGCGCTAGTCAGTCAAAAGCTAAAGGCAGAGGACGTTCGCTCGCAAAGAAGTCTCCAGCCAAGAAAGCAGCATCTTCGGCCAAGAGCTCGGGAAAAAAACAACCAGCCCCTAAGAAGGAATCCGAATCGCCATCTAAAGCCACACCTGTCAAGAGAGGCGCCCCTGCAAAAAAGCCCAAGACACCAGCTGTTAAAAAGCTAAACAAAAGGGGGGCCAAGCGACCTGTGTCCAAGGAGTCGCCCCCCAAGGAGCCTACAGCCACAAAGGAGACGACAAGGAGCGGGTCCAAGCGCTCCAAGGCCGAAGAGTCGCCTCCTGAGGCGCCTGCAGCTAAAAAGCAGGCGGCCAAAAGTGGATCCAAACGACCCGCAGAGTCGTCCCCTGCAGAGCCCGCAGTGAAAAAGGGGGCCAAGAGCAGCAAGCAGTCTGCTCGCAAGTCTAAGAGAGGGAAATACTGAACCCAGGAGCGTCTTCTACAAACTGGGCTGAATATCCAGCAGTCTGCCGCTTTAGTTTCAGTGCTTTCTCTCTCTTTATATCATTGTTTTCTCCCTCTTTATGGGGCAGTAGGGTTTTGTTTTTTTTATTTCGATTGTAGAATAAGAACCTTATCCTACCAGTTAATTGAACTTTGAGAGTTTCTGAATTTAATTTTTTAATCACAGTGTGTAGAAAAGCTCCGTTAGTGTTATCGGCGAGGCTGCCGTCTTGGGAGACTGTAGGAACATCAAGCATACTTTAAAACTAGAGCCACGTAGCGACTTCGGTTTTGTTATGTTTTTCTTTTTCGATTTTTGGTTTGTTTTTGTTTACACATGTTCCTCGTGTACTCTGTAGTTGCTGGCAGCACACATTCCTAATCTCAAATCAAAGATCAGTGTTCTAGACGGGTGAAAACGGCGTCAGTTTTATGTTGAAAAGTGGGTTTAAAAGTTCAAAAGAGTTACTAATGTTGTTAGTACTTTATAAAAGACAGAAATTTGAAATTTCTGTGTTTTGTCCCGGGATTAAATCAAAATGTGGTCATGCAACTAATGCATACAAATCTGAACTGTAATCTGTGTTCCTCATTTATGTAGTTTCCTTCTTTATTATTATTATTATTATTACAATAATTTATATTTGGTTATTTAAACAGATATAGCCCCCCTGGAAAAAACAAAAAGATTAAACCTGCAGGTGCCAAGTTGAGGATAAAATACTGTTAGTATTCAAGTCACACTGAGGGGAAAATGTCTTTTTGAGGTGTGTGTGTGTGTGGGTGTGTGTGTGGGTGTAAACAAGCATATACACAAATTGATTTTATCGCTTCACATCTGTATTCAGTACCAAACTGTAAGAAATGTGTGTTGTGGAAAAAGGAGGATAATAGGATAATAACTTCCCTGCATGCATGTATCCCTTGTGTTGTTAAGCTTTTTTCCAAGTCATTAATAAAATGGCTATATTTGTAGACTGTTGCAGTATTTATTTTTTTTTATTTAGTGGGCAATGAAAATGTCACATCTCATAGGGTGCCTTTGTCCCATTGATGATGAAAATCTAATTATTACAGCAGGAAGGTAGACAATTCAGAATAAACAGATGAAACTTATAACTAATGTTTTACAGCAACAGAAAAACAATATTCTATATACGGTAGAAGAAATGTAATTTAAATTTATGTATATATGATATATTTTCCCATCTTTAGATGCATAGCAGCAGTGTTGCACTTTGATTTCAGTCCCCAGTGGGTGCATGTGGTCTGCTGTTTGTAGAGTCTGACGGCAGCTTAAAGGAAAGGGCTCTGATGTCTCATCTTCAAGGATGCAGTGGCCTGTCACTGAAGGGCTGATGATTAGTGCTGTCAGAGTGTGCTGCACGGGGTGGGAGGTGTTCTTCAACAGGACTGACAGTTTAGCTGCCATTATCCTGTCACCACCTCCACTGGGTCGAGAGGTCGTCCCAGAACGGAGCTGGACATCTGAATCGGCCTGCTTCTGTCCTCAGCAGAGATGCTGATGCCCCAGCAGACGGCAACTTAAAAGATAACGGATTGCCACCAGAAGAGGTTTTCAGGAGCTCCATCTGAACTCCAAAAGATCTTAGTCTTTATAGCAGATACAGCCCCCTCTGTTCTTTCTTGTAAAATTCAGCAGGTTTTCCTCCTGATTGTCTTTGTCATTAACCCCCACCACCCCACAGGAAATGTAAATGGTTAGCATAGCCTTGGGGACTGCTGCAGTACATTTAATTAAAGTAATTACACCAGGCCATTGCTAGCGCACATCGAGCAAAAATCTTCAAGGCTAAAATATTTTCCACTTACTTTATTTCCCAGTTATTTTTAGATCTTTAATAAAGAAATGCTACATCATATACCCCTCTTGCATGTATGCAAAACTTTTCTCCACAGGGCATTTGCTTTTCTATGTGGGCAGCTGTAAATTAAAGTCAAGCTTCACGTTGTTGAATTTGGAGCAGGGGCTTCTTTCTAGGTCAACACAGTGATGCCGGGGTTCCAGGAGTTTTGACTTCATGGCAGGCTTGAGCCTTGGTGGCTACAGGTTGTTGTTCAACATCCTAACCAATTTCCTCTCATCTGAGGGGGACAGTTTTGGTCTTCTTCCAGACCTGGCCAGTGTGACAATGCATCCAAATAACTTATACGCATCTACAGCAGTTTGAACTGATGATCTTTATATCTGTGGTTGCTTCAAATTTGCTCCAAGAGATCTTCCCAAATCCTATAAATTTACAATTCTCCTTCTTAGATCTTCATTGAGTTATTGCTTTCCCATTGCTCTGAGTGTTGGTCAGAATCCTGTCAAAGAAATCCTCCTTTTTAAGGAGAAACTACTAAAAGTAACTACATTAAAAGTTACCGGGCCCACGATGAGTGTATGTCAGCTTTTAACATGTATAACCAGAACTGTAGATGAAAAGTGAGGAAACAAGTATTGTGAGCGTTTACTTCAGCAACATTTATATTCCCACGTGTCATTATAAAGGTTTTAAAATACTACTGAATCACACGGACTCATTGTGTATCGTTGTAATGTTGCTGCACCTTAACTTTTTGTATTTTTATATCTGTATCTAATAACACAACATAGCATAAGTGCAGATACACATGATAAAATCTGCAAGATAATTAAATGTCACGGCGTACAAATTACAGTGTTATGACCCCAAATATCGTTTCTGAAGTAGAACACGAGTACTATCGGGAGGAGGTGTGTGTGTGGTGGTGGTGGGGCTTAAAATAGTCTACATTTAACTTTTGGACCCAAAGTTCATCTAGACACAAAGTTTTCCCATGCAGGCTGCCATCTTGGTAACGCCTCCAGTTATTTCTCGCAGGTTTTACCCAGTGGACTTTCAGTGCACAGCTTTTAACTATAAATTAATATAGTGTGATTTTTAAATACTTGTATTGACACATACTGTTATTTTTGGTTTTGCTGCGTGAGCTTGAATTCTTGCGCGCTGTGTGGGAATGTGCGGAGTGGACAGAAACCGCTTCAGGGGGAGGGTGATGTTATTCATTGAGCCATCTTCCGTAAGTTTCGTGTTTTGGTTGATTTAGTTCTCACGTAGACCCTCTTTTCTTTCTTCTCCTCCTCCTCTTTCTCCGCCTTTCTTCAGCTAAACTCCGCCTCGGAATACCGCTGCACACCTGGGGGTAACGGCTGCAGGTAAAAGTGTGACGGCGGGGGAGCCTCGGTGTGCGTTTGGTCGGCGTGCCAAGAAGACGCGGTGCGGTCCGAGGGTGAGGAGGTGGATGAGGAGGGTTTAGTTGCGACTCTCAGAGTGAGTTTCTGTGATATGAAGGTGCTGTTGTGACCTGTGCGCTCAGGTGGAGACGCCCCGGTGTAGCTTGCCGCTGCTGCTGGACTTCACAGGGCGGAAACCCTTCAAAAGTTTTGTCTTTTCACGCGTTTGTGTCTTTCTGGGTTTCTTTCGGGGCATTTCGTGGCGGATAATCCCAACAAAACAATCGAGCCTCTCGTAGCAGCAGGTTTATCTGCGACGTTAATGCGGCCAAAGAAGCGTCTTCAAAATCAGGCTCTTGCGACTGCTACGCTTATGTTTAATACCGACTCATCTTTCATGTTTCCCTGAGTATCAAGAGGATAGATAAACGCACATTAAATCTAGTCCATATGTTTTCAACTTGTTTTTAAATCTCCTTCACTCTGCTGCTTGGAGTTCTCGGGACTTCAAGTGTTGAAATCTCGTATTTCCACAGGGCACTATGGGTGAGGCACCGGTCAGAGAAGATAGTACAGTGACACGATCAGCAGAGGTATGTCTGGAAACATGACTTTGCATTTGTGTGTCTGTGTGAGTGTTTGCTTAACCTCCTGTCTTCACTGGTGAAGTATGTAGGCTCATTTCCTGTGGATGACAACTGTTTGGATGACCAGATTAAGCAGCTGCACACACAGTTGAAGTCCCTTAAAGTGAGTCTTTATCTTTCTATCTAAACCTACGAATGTGATGATAACGACTGTACCTAATGCAGTCCTGTATTCATTTAGGCATGCAAGACAAGACGGCCAGTGTCCCTAAAGTTTTCCATTAAAGGTGTGAAAATGTATAACGAGGATGAAACGGTAAGTAGAGAAAATGACAGTTAGTTTGTTTTGACCTGTTTCCGTCGCTCTCCTTTTCGTGCCTTATTGCTCGCGACCTGTCCCTGTGTGCAGATCCTCCTGATGGCCCACGCTCTGCGGAGAATCTCTCTTTCCACGGCCCGACCCGTCGATTCACAGTTTGCCTTTGTCGCTCATAACCCAGGCTGCCCAGACACCCAGCTCTACTGCCATGTCTTTAAAGCAAGGCACGCCAGAGCAGTAAGGATTCTCCATTGTTCTGTTATAGTTAGAGCTCGCCGTAAATATGTATTTAAGGCTTTCTGTTTACTCACAAATAACAACCCTGCCGCTTTCCCATGCTGGACAGAAAGTCCTTCTGTCAAGCACAGTATATTTTAAAGTGTGTGATTAAAGGTGTTCTAGCTCTGCTCATAAAAAGCAGAAACAATGACTGATTATACTTTAGCTGCAACCCCATTCAAGGTTCTCTCTGTGTGCACCTATGGACTGCTTCTGGCACTACTTGCACTCGGTGGAAGGCCTGTCCTGACTGCTTGAACATGTGTGTTTTGTGATATCACCACGTTGCTTACCAGACATTTCAAACTATTATATGCCGAATCATTACCAGAGGTGATGATGGGCTACGACCCAGAAATCCAACAATGCAAGAGTTTGTTTTTTCTTTCTTTTTTCAAAATGCATAATATGTAACTTCTCCAGATGGAGGAAGAAAATTTGACATTGTGTGTCCACTCATGGTGCACTGACTGGAGGTTTGAGGCCAGACCAACACACACGTTTTTGCTCTACTTGCCAGATTTGGCTCGCTGGGACTTCACCCTCTTCCCTGAAACAGAAGTCAACTTGAAGGAGCATTGTTTTATCTCAGTGGAGCACAGCAAAGGCACAGAACTTCCATCAAGCGATCTAAAAAGAGTTAGCAGCATTGTGATTTTGCTTTTTACTTGTGTCGTACTTAGCAGTTTACTTTGTCTTCTTTCTATTCTCTGTTTTTCAAGTCTGTTATCATAGAACGTTTCCAAGCTATATGTTTGCAAAGCGATGCTTTAAAAGGATTAAAATGGTCACGTGTTTAAATGACGTGAGAATGAGAACAATCTTTTAAAGTTTGTGTTAATGGTGTCACTGAAACTGAGTCTCCATATTTCCGTTCTCATTATCTTGATAGGCAAACTATTTTAGAGCAGCCCAGAGTAGGGAAGTAATGCCGATATTTATATATAATATAAAGCTAACATTTCTGTTGTTATCAGAAGCTTTTGACACATTAGAGGAAATTAAATCCAATAAATGTGGTCAGTAATGAACAGTTTGCCATGGTAACTCCAAATAAAACCCTCCAGTGTCACACAGGTTTGGACTAGAAAGTGATGGGAAATGTGCTTATTGATCTTATGATAACAAATTCCTTTCTGTGCTAAACTCAGATCTGATCCCAACCAACTGTTGTATCTTCAGAAGTCACCCTTGAAGCCATGTTTCCTGTGTGACACAATAATAGGTGCCTCTACTGGTGGAACTGGTAGCATTCAATTGTTTTGAGCCAGTCTCACCGCATTGTAGTTAGCAGCGAGACTTGTTCCAACGTGGAGAGGTCGGCAATACTATGACACTGCAGTTGCCTCATCTCTGCGAGATGCCTGTGCTTGACTAAACGTCGTCAGCTGTGGTGTTGAAGCGCTAAGCTTTTATCAGTGCCGTTGTACTGTTAATAATTTACCTGATGAATTACTGCAGTATGACACAGAATAACACTGTTTCAGTTTAACTGCTAGGTTTTCTGTATGCACCCTTCCTCCTTTAGGCCCAGTTCCTGAACCTGCTGCTGTGCCGCTGCTTCCAGCTGTCGTACTTGGAGAAGCATCCAGAAGAGGCCCAGATAGACTCTGCTGGCTCACTGCCTCATCGCAAGCCTTCA